TCAACCAAATTCTTCATCACATTCACCCGGGGCAGGCTACAGTAAGCCAATCAGTGGTCGCCGTGCCGAGTGGACCCAGTTTGACTTAAAAAATCTATGACAGTTTCATGGATCTACATACTCTATAGATTACTACTTCAAACACTAAAATTTCTATGCTTTCGCCATGCGTTGCTAGGTAACGGCTGTTCAGTATGGGGATTCTTCAACTGCTCCGTGCTAATTTCCTTACTGGATGTGCGACTGTCTCACAAGTAACTCATGACTGCAGCTCCTAGCCATGACTGGCTAACTTTAGAGTGAGAGTCAGAGTTATTTTACGACTGGCGGTCTACGGCCAGTCAGTTCGTCTTGGCGCCAAGTCTCTTGAGGCTCACGACAAGTGATTTTATGTTGCAGCTGAACCCTTGCGGTCATAGTCCATATGTGATATCCTCCCTCACGAGAGGAACAGGCTTCACCTTTGTTAAGTGTATGTATCGCACACAGAGCACATTATTGAAAGTTATTCCTTTTCACTACACATAAGTCCTCTGACAGTCCTGGCTTTGCAAAGCAGATCACGTCTATCTTAGTTACATTGCGCTACAACGGCAGCTTAGTCACTTGAACGGTCGTAAGCTTGATCGCCACAAGTTTAACTGACTAAATTAAAGTCAAATTCACATTGTGACTGATGGTCAGTAATTCTTGGTGTCGAGCCCCATTTGGGGCTCATGATCAGATACTAGTTCTGTTTGAGAGTTACTGTCCTGTCCCTATGGGGCGCTCTCTCTGACGAGAGGACGTGTCTGTCTTTTGTCAGAGTAATAAGTCAGTTGTCAGTATGTACAAAAGTTTTACATTTTACAAGTTAATAAAGTACATATATACAATAAATACAGGGTCTCGCTACATAGCCTCTGCATGCACCGCAGAGAAGACATGTATTTCATCAGGTCCTCTATTGTTGCGTGCATATCAATTGTTGCGGACAAGGTTTATTGAGCCGTTGCCTAGCAACGGCTCTCTCTTCCAGCTCGAATATTCCGCCTTTCATGTGTCTTGTCATAGTAGATTGAATATGTAATAGTAGTCATTACTAGAGCATATTGTATAGTAATAAGAGCATGATTTCAAAACAATTTTGAATTCTTTAAAATTTTTTGGGATATTAATAATACTTTGAGTAGACAGCCTTAAGGCAGAACGTCCTATATATTCAAGTAGGACTTCAGCATGGCGCTCCAAAGGGTCGTCGATTAGAGATTACACAATTTATTACCAAACTTCACGAAATCAATAACAAATTTATATCTGAACAATATATATGCTGAAAATATTCTAGGCAGAACTGCAGTATATATTTAGGTTAGGCAGCCAGTGGAATACGACGGGGTATAAACGTCAGAGATTAAGAATGTGGAAGTACGAGTAGTGACGGCAGTATCCGGGCGGCTGTTACAGACTACGAGTGCTAAATATTTACCAGTCACTCCTTAACGTGAGCTATAAAAGCAAAATCCTTACACGTCTATAAGCGAATAAGTTTATTATTCTTGATCCATGTTATGATGCTTTGAAAACTGCAGAGCTCATATATAATCAAACAAAATACTATACACCCATTTTCACTTGTGAAGATTTGTACTTTTTAAAGATATTAACCTAGATGTTCAGTTTTACCAATAGGCACTGAGGAGTAACACGGAAAAAATCAGTCATGGTATTCTGGGTCTTTAACCGAGATTCGAAAAGGGTTTTTCTAAAAGACGATGTACGAATTGTAACCACTGCTTCATTTTCATACTGTGAAAAATATTTGTACAACTGCAGAATAACTTGTATTAAAAAAAATCATTCGCGTATTGTTAATTATAAAATTACACTGAAAAGGATTCAGAATAAATTATAATGAACTCTTTTGTTTCCATGGAACTTTTTCAGCTTAGTAACTTCAATGATAGGCAGAAGTTTCACGTGGGTTTCTGGAACAGTGAGAGATACTGTAGATCCAAACGAGCTTAAGTTAAATTCACTAAATTATTACTGAAGTTTATTAAATAAACAAGGAAAATAAATCTGAAAATTGTAGTTGCATATCATCCTAATAAATTTTTGCTTCTGTCGTATGAAATTCGTAAAAAGAAACAGAGAGAGGCAGGCGAAAACCATTTGACATGAGAAGTAATTTTTTACATAAAATGCTAACTTGATTTTTCTTAACCCTTTGAAGCCAGGTGGTTAATACTATCACATATCTGGGGTTTGTGTGACTAATAAGACGGGTTTCAGATTTGATGATCGAATTTATGGGACTTTTATCCAGCTAGTTACAACAGTTCACACTGTTTGACACACTGTCATCTTCTTCGACTGAGGACTCCAGTGGTACTATTATGATTTTCATATGAACTCCGTTGTACCCCTTCAATTATGATCTGAACTACGACTGACTGTATCCACTTATAACTCCTCGACAAGGACCCCACGGAAAACACAGTCTTCTTTTGTCAAGAATGCATGTTTCTTGGTCCCTTACTTTCCAGTGGATGTCCTTCGATTGTTTAGAGCGTATTTTTGGGAATGTGTTTAAAGAACTGTTGTCTAGCAACGGGCATATGCGTCACAATATGAATACCAACTGCCTTAACATACTAAAACCCTTCACTATGCTTACAGAGTGAGTAGGTGTACGATTATTTCTAGAGATTCTATTTCCCCTACACATTATTGGCCGATTGGGTTTCATAGTGGAGAAGTAATGTGTTTCCTGTGAGGTACGAACTGAGAGCTTATATACTATATATTCCGAAGAACTTAAGTACTCAACTGACGTTAACAATTGCAGAAACAGACTTATTCTGCACCACCTCAAGCCACTTTTCGCAGTCTAATGCTAGAGACTGAGATCAAACCAAGAGATTTTTTTGTTTATGGATATTTTTATGCTGGATTGTAAAGTTTCAATGACTAGCTTCACGTCTGTTTCTGCGTCCACTTATAAAAGGACCAAAACTGCGAGATCTAGTTTGACTAAACACGGTATGATATACTTACAATATAAATTATCGAACATTTTTTTGTTTCCTTTGTTTCCTATATTTTAAAGTTTACGTCGCTTAAGAAAGTGAATTAAATTGAATTTGAGGTTCTCACAGCAACTTATGTAAAAATGTTCTAACTTCTGGTATATAACGTCTTTTAAGCTGAAGTTCAGCCGACGTTTCGAATGAACTTATCCCCGCAATCTTCAGGTAAGAGGTAAGCAACATACGAGCATGAGACAGGCAGCAATAGCTTATATTTCAAGGACTCCGCAGAGTCTTCATTGGACTGTACGGCGTTATATTCCAGAAAATAAAACTCTTTATTTTAAATTACAATTTAAATAATTTAAGTTCTTCCATATATTTTTATTGAACTTGATCTTCTGCACGAATATTACGAAATTCCTTGAATGAATTTCGTTCTAAGGGCAAATTTGCCAGGCTAAATACGTCCAACTAGATTTGTCACTATTTGTTAAGAATGTAACTAATAACGGTGAGATGTTTTCTGAATTTTAACAGATAGCAATAGTAGCTATTATTTTCTCCCCAACGTTTCAATTGCCACCTGTACATCACCTATTGATAGCGTCGCTATCAGAACCGTAAGCAGTAATTTGATAACAGTCTAGATAATAGGCTGAAGGATTCAGTTATTCAGTATAGAGGGGGTGGGTTTCCCCATGCACAGCGACTAATAGTCTATTGTACGTCCCCCTTTAATTTCTACTGTCGCCATACCCTACCGATACTGGTGCCCTCTATCTCCCCTTTCTGCCAGCGATGTCGGCCCTCTACTGGCAGTGGTACCCGATAACTCTCCTCTTTCTGCCAGCCAAGTCGGCCCTCTGCTGGCATTGGTATCGATAACTTCCCCATCTACCGGAGGCATTGGAAACTACTTGGGCGGGAAACATTTTGCCTAATTTTGTTCATAGACCTCCCTCCAGGAGGACTTGTTCCCTGAATTTTTCCGCCCTTAAAAATTCTACGACATCCGCCGGGTTTGAACCCGCGTACCACGAATCATGAGGTGGGAACGTTACCCCTAAACTACGGAGGCCGCTATGGCTGAAGGATACGACGGACTTCTCTGTGTGGGTAGAGGGGGGCAAAGTGTCTTTCCCTCAGAGTAACATTTAATTTAATTTATTCTCAATTTGGGTTCCCTACGAAAAATATCAGGATTCTGAAAAGTGAAATAACAAGGCAAATGAACTAATTCCATGGAGCTGAGCCGCCAGTTGTTCAGATACTCAAGAATTTCCCAATATTTAATCGATATCTGGCAATTTATTCGTTTTCAACTTTGTAACCGCAATTTCAACCTCAAAAGGGCTAGGATCAGATACTAACAGCTCAGCTCTATATATTTTTATCTACCTAACATCACAGACACTATATAGATTCAATAACTGAGAGAAGTAGTTCTTCTACCCATTCAAAATATTGTGGGATTCTTCAAGCAGAACACCATTCTCATCCTTCACTAATACAAGTTACTTCTATGTTCTTAATCATTCTTAAATTCATTTATTCCTTTAAACAGGTCTTTAATTTTCTTGCTCTTACTGTTCACTGCAAGCTCATTAATTTTATTCCCGAAATTCCTGCTGACTTCACGTTTTATTGTTTTCAAGATATCCCCATTTGTTTTGCCTTGTTCTTATAACTGTTGCAATTTTGTCTGTATCCTTCGGTCTAATAATGCTGAACATCCTTTGTCAAGCCATAGCTTATGCTTCTTCATTTCGTAACAACGTAGATTTTCTTTGGCTGAAATATGGCAATTCTATTGATGAAATGTGGGAAATGGTAAGATAACAGTTTCTCGGGTACAGTGGGTCTTTAATTAAACACGTGACTCCAGTTCGATATTGCTGTCCAACCGAATTTAAGGTTAAGGCGGAAGACTCGTCAGTTGCATTCATATCAGTGCACCTTAAATTATTTTATTTTTGTTGCTTCTAGGTGACAATTGCCACGGATCTAGGGAAAGTGGTGACGCAAATGCAGCTGGAAAGATCTGAAGTAGCCTTCTTTATATTCACCAATGGCAGCACTTTACGGTAAGTGGAGTTGCCCTCTCTGCGCATGCCTGTGTGTACTTGACGCAATTAGCGTCACCACTTCTGCTATATGGCCGCTTGTTGAGAGTGATCCAGATGTCATGGAATGTCAAAGAGCAAGGATAAATATTGTTAAGAATTATAATTTTTGGAATGTGAAGTTGTGTGACTACTACAGAAGTCACTCTTCTAGCCTAAAGGTGGAGTACAAGAAGACAGCAAATTTCAGACATTTTTGAGAGAGCGCTTTCTACCAAACTATATGTATATGAGGCAGTAATCTCCATTATTACAGCCCAGATAATCCAAAAACTCACAGATGTATAGCAATGATCCCTGCGCGGACCACAGGAAACAATGCTCCTATATTTTCAAGAATTCGTGTTTATTTTACCATTACTTAACAACTGATCTACAGGCTACATGCCTATCGTACGTATATTGCAGTGTCCCTCTTCAATACGGAACTGCAGATTAAAGAACTTATGGAAAGTCTTGAGTGTGATTTATTATGGTACATACTGTGAGCTGAAACTGGGTCAGAATTCTTCGTTTGGCGTCCAAATTATAATCCCGTAGTTACTAATTTGTGTTTGGACGCTGATTACTTGGTAGAGAATTTCTTCATGTTTTGTAAGACGTTGCCATCAAGACGTTTCTCTACAGAGAGCGAACAGAATTGTGTAATGTGCATGGAGACCCTTCTGAAAAATACAAGCGCACTCAAGACTTCAGGAGCTCTACTCTTTGAAGCCTTTGAAGATAAACACTGTTCTCAGTATACCACAATTCGTGGATTAAAGAATTACTCTCTTCTTCGAACCAGAAGTACGTAAGTTTGTAAGCACACTTTAAAAGCAACTTACTCTGAACATTATCCTTTTTAATCTGAATATTCATGTACTTCGACCCTTTAAAACCCAGTTTATGTAGAGCGCTTGCTTTAAAATATTAAAAACTCGACATTTTTCTAAAAGAGATCGTATTTTCATACAGTTATCAGAATAAAAATCTATCGTTTCTCTAAATTATATTAATCAATTTTTTCTTTTTTATGCTAGTGAGGTGGGACTAAGTCCCTTGTACTGCGTCCACTTCTGGCCTATTGTACCAGCCCTAGATGGTAGGTGAGGGTGATTGTGGAGCAATTGGTGGAATGAAGATTGGCAGGGGAAACCGAATTACTCAGAGAAAACCTGCCCCAGCGCCATTTTGTCCACCACAAATCCCACTTCACCAGACCCGGGATCGAACCCGAGCCGCCGCGGTGGGAAGCCAGCGACTAACAGCTTGAGCTATGGCGCGGCCTATTAATCACTTAGTTTTTGTAATAAAGAAGTAGCATGTTTTCTATGAGGTAGGATATACATTTTCTGTGATGTTTAAAATAAATTCGTTGTCCAGAAGTTTAAGAAGCAAGTACAGTATTCTGGAAAATTAATGGAAATCTGTTTCGTAGAATGATAGCCAAGTTTCCTGCTTAATTTACTTTACTTTAATCCCTTCCGTTCTGAATTTTAGATAATAATTTAGAGCATAACGTTTACTCTGTACCCCACATTCTTTCGTATTCATTACCTCTGCATCCTCCGATCACGCTTTGTTTATTTTTTCTCTTTAATTCTCACATTAAAGAGGAATTATTTTCCAAACAGCATTAGTTAATATTCCTAATATGGTGGCAGAAATCTGGCGGCGCATGCGCGTAAGCATGGCATGAAAAAGAAACTTTCAGAGTTTTTCTTTCCGATGACATAAACTGGATAATTGTATGACAATTACTTCCAGAGAAAAGAAATTTTTGTTTTGGATACCTGTCATCCTGACACTCGGTAGATACGAATATCAAATATCATGAACAGCTAGCCATATAACTCAATGTAACACTTGCTTTCTCGAAAAGATCCGTCATTGATGAATAGTTTTATGTCATGATACATTTCAAATAAATGGGTTAGAAATGTTCCACTAGATAGCCAATACATTTCAGAATGTAAGGTCATAATATATATATCAATTTTAAAGCGACTTCGGAAAATTAAAACTCATTGCTTTATCCCGCTAAACTTTCCATTTTCTGTTACCCCTTTTGCTTCCTGTAATGGCAGCAGTGAGCCCATTTGACAGTTTGCTTGAGAGCTCGGCTATCATGAGTTCACACACTGTACCTTCCTGACATCTACAGTGCTCCACATCTATTGACACCTCGCATTTCGGCCATATATTCCCATTTCCAGCTAAAAAACTTTTAAATTATTTAAAATTTTCCCACTAGGATGATGCGGTGGCAATATCTGGCAGAATAAGTTATAACATTTTCATCAATTTTACCAACGGATTCATGCTATGTGACTGTAAGCAAAACAGCATAGTCTGAAACGTCCTTTCTTTCATTTATTTATGAAGAAATATTTGTTTGTGCTGCTTTTTCACTAGCTGCAGCATTATCAGCCCTGTGTTTAATGCTCTACTTCACGTCGGTATTGAATAATAAAACCGAATTACAATCTTCTGTTGCTTCCAGCACTGTACGTATAATTGCTTTAGCGGCAGGTGGAGTTACTTCCTCTGATATTGCATGTGGTTTTCCGGTCTCTGCTATGGAGTAAGCCACTTCAAACGAAACTAAAAAAAAAGGATTTTAATTTTAAAAAAATGCTATATTTTATATTGACATTTCCTTTTCACAAAATTCTAGTTGTTTCCTATGAAAATATTCAGAAGTTTAATGTGATATTTATGTTTAATTTGCACATACCTGGGGAATATGGCTTCATTCTCTCATTGGATTATGTTTTTATAACAGATAATGTATTATAGTTTTTTCTCTATCTATGTATATGTATTCGAAGTATATGCAGTGTATATCCAAAAGTTGTTATATACTGTGACATGTCAACGCATTACTAGGCAACGGCTCCTTGAACACCTCACGATATGCGAAAACAGCAATAACACGAATGTTTATATCTCATTGCTAGGACTAACGCGATAGTTCTCACGTGACTTATTTTCTGTGTGGTCTGCGTTACGCAACAATAGAACTGTGCTTTCTGCTCTTTCCGCTCAGCGATTATACTTATATAACACGAGTCCGCATGCAGCTAAGCAGAGTCCAGTAGCGTTCAGCAGTTGAGAGTACAAAATATCACAAGTAGGGTGGTATGCGTGACGAATAACGGGGTTCTAGATCGGATAAAGGGACTTATTGGCACTTCGGTTACAATCTCTCTTAATTACAATTAATACAGCGCTGTCCTTGATACACACTTTCCTGTTCACTTTTGCATAGGCACTAGGATTCTCAGCTTCCACTAGTCGTCTCCTGGAAACGGATCTGAAACACAGAAATTATCGCTTCAAATCACTATAAATTCTTCTTGTCTTCAGATATTTTGTACTCCTCTGTCCTAATCTGTACTCAACAAATCTTCAATTCACTAATGACATTCTCCATTCTCGTCCTTGTGTAATCTCAATTGCCTTGTAACTTCTATTATATACGACTTGCTCTGTCCTCTATAAACCTTCGGCACGGACAACGCACAGAAAACACAGCCCCTGTACTGTTGTGTGACAACATTGCCTACGCGCAAATATGTTTACTGAGTCGTTGCCTAGCAATGAACGTGTACTGTTGTCACGCTCTTAAGCGAGAATGTGTTTATCGTGCCGTTGCATAGCTATACAGGTTACGTCAGTACCGGAAGAGTACATAGTAATAGAGCACGACTATATCGTTACCAGTCCTTCTCTGTTCTTGACTAACAGCTGTCGTCATGTCTTATTTTGTGGTATTGCATGAGCTGTTAAGGTTCGGTCACACAGAGCGCTACGTGCGCGACGCACGCTACGTACGGTATGTTCCGTATGTTAGCTGCGTCGCAGAGTGTACACATCGTACGTAGCGTACGTAGCGAACATAGCGTAGCGCTCTGTGTGGCCGAACCTTTATAAAGACCAAAACAAGTAAAATATGCAAGAGCTTCAAACTGGTGCATTGTATACGCTACTGGCTTCGCTTCAGTTCAGCGTACTTCTTATACTGGCTGCAGCCATTCAGTTCCTTTCACTACTACGACTATAACGTCTGTTTCATTCAACAACGGTGTGTGCATGAACATGAATTTCGTTGCGTCTTCTTATTTGTTACTATTCAAAATCCTTGTTATCCCCAGACAGATCGTAACAAAATGACCTCTCTATTCTTCGTACAATAATGGAATTCCATATATTTGTATGAAAAACAGAATGTTATCGACACACTTCATGGCGAGTTATTGACACACTAAGTCTCTGGCTTCCTACCGCGGCGGTCCTGGTTCGATCCCGGGTCTGGTCAAATGGGATTTGTGGTGGAAAAAGCGGCGCTGGGGCGGGTTTTCTCCGAGTACTTCGGTTTACCCTACCAATCTTCATTCCACAAAATTCTGCATCATAATCACCCGGAGCAGGTATAATAGGCCAATCAGTGGCCGCCGTATCGAGTGAACCCAGTTGGACTCCGCCCCCAACTATGCGAAATTTTATTGACATTTCTATTTTTTGAGTGTTTGTAACGAGAAGTTGCAGTTATGTACATGTTATGCCATGTTTTTCTTTTTCTATCTGCACGTAACAACTCATGATGAGGTGAATGTATTGTCATTATATCTGAAACTGGCGAACTTAATTCCAATCTTTATTAAAATCGGATAACAATAACGGCCGTAGGATTTCAGGTTCTCACAGCGGTAGTTGTGAAGAGTTCCACCTTCTGGAATATAACATCCTGCAATCTGTATAGAGGCAACCGACTCTGCTTGCCACCTGTTTTCACTTGGTTTCTTACTTGGATTATTCTTCAACCGTGAAGATGGAGGTGACATGTTCTTCCGAAACATCAGTTGACTTTCAACGGATTATACGGCGTTATATCTTAGAAATTAGAATCCTTAACAAAAACGGCCGTTTTATATAAGGACCTACCTGTTTTTCTGTGCGCATATTCAGCTTAGCTA